AGTCAATATTTGAACTTCAAATGCTAATAAAATAAAATTGTGCCTATGTATTTTTATAAATTTTTAATTACTATAAGAATAACTAATGTGGAACTTTGTATTCAGCTTTCCAGTATTTTGATATAGTCAAAAAGTTTTATTAACCCTTCAAAAAAATTTTTCAGAAAAATTGAAATTTTCAGTTGTCTATAAATATCTCATAAAAAGTCAAAATATTTTTAAAATTAAATTATGTAAAGAAAATGCCAATCTAAATAACTGATCAAATTTTCATGTATCTACGACTTATACTTCTTGAATACTAACAAATATTTATAATCGTTTCAGGATAAATCGTTATCGTAACGCTATTTCGTAAAAATTTAAAATTCAAACGCACCTCAAATTTTTCCTATAATGACGCTTCGAGTTTTCTCTATAGCTACTTGAAGGAAAAGTTAGTGTTGTATTCTTAATCCTAAGTTATAGACACAAAAATTTTTATGATTTTTCAGCTTCAAAATTACTTGCAAACTATTTCGCGTTTTCGACAGATTTCGTAAAATATTGAACTATAAAAGCTTATCAAAAAAAATTGTGACTTACTAAATTTTTTTCAGCTACAATAAGAACAACTCATAAGGAACTTTGTATTAAATTTTCAAGTGTTTTTGGTCATCCAACATTTTTTTACCGACACTTAACACGTTGGCTACGGCTACCAGACTTGATTTTAAAAATATTTTTTTATTTACGATGAGTATCACCCGTGACTCTCAAAAAATATAAGTTTTCTTGGTTATTGAATTCTACATAACTTTAAGAAAACGAAATACCTGAGGGTTACCAGCAACTCACACGATACACACATAATGACGATTTGTGAGTCACCCGTGACTCTCATGGTACATAACCAGAGATCGTCAAAATTATGTCTATTGTATCATGGTGTGAGACACCCGTGATACTCATGGTAGCCAACGTGTTAAAAAAAAAATTCTCAAAAAATTTGAAAATTTCAGTGGT